GATCTGGCCCTCTAAATTCCACTTTTTGGATGAACCATTCAAGAGAGAAATATTTATATCTGGTTCACTGGGCTGGAGCAAATGATCCTCACTGTCTTGGGATGGAGAGTGTAAAGTATCAATGTACTCCTCTTCCCAGTGTTTATTGTCCTCAGGAGTCGACCTCTGCCATATTCTGTATACCTAGAGCTGTGCAACAGCAGCGAAGATCCTCATTTTGGCACAAAATAAATGGAGAGCACAAAATTAAATTGTATTAATTTCAAGCTCTATTAGGATTTTCTGGAAGTAAAAATCAATAGCAAAGGACGGAATCAGTAGGGAATGTGACATGATTTTCCCAGCTTCTGAGAGGGAATTGTAAACAATGAAGAGACAACAAAATACACAACTATAAAAATGTACCAATTTCTCTGATGGGGAAAAAGAGAAAATAAAAAGCCTGCATAAACAGCCACTTGACTGTTGTTTGGCATGAATGTCCAAAACAGATAATTGTCCATTATTCTCCTTTGTTTTTTCTCTCCCATAGGAAATTGCAAAATGGGGTGATCCATCCCAACATTTCATTGTGTACAACTCACTATTGTCAGAGTGAAATGTTTGATATAAAACAAGAATAATCTTTCTTTTTATTATTATTTTTTTTCTGGTCAGATAAACTGTTTTAGATGAATAAAAAAACTACGTTGCAATGATATTGACAATTTGCATGTGAAAAGCTTTCCACCTGGTAACAAAAACAATTTTTTCAGTTGTGCCACCACTAGTCACAAGAGATAAGGTCCTTCCTCCTCCCCCTCAATTAGACACGCACAAAAAACTGAAAAGGTAGAAAACGTGTGACAATTGTACCTCCCGTTATCTGAGACTGGTGCTAATGTAGTGATATTTCCAAATGCATCTGCACTGCTGGCACTGTATCCAATCCGTTATAGCCTGGCAGTTTGTGCATCTCTAACAGGGCACCTCCAATTTGGGAAGGTGGAACATAGCTGAGTACTGTCGGATGTCAAGTTTTTAAATGCAGCGTGAATGGCATTTGGCTGAAATCCCCAGATTTGCATTGCCCCTCTTCGTTGCTGTCAAGCTTTGGTGGATTATCAAACCACTAGGTGGCAGTGTGTGCATGTAGCGGGCGGGGAGCATTCTCTCAGGGGGGCCATGAACTTGGGAATGTTTTGATCATGCTTGATGAGCACAGGGTCACAGAGGTGCCCAAGGCAGTGAGAAAGAGAAGGAAACAAGCGGGAGGAGGCTTTAACTTTAAAGAATGTTGGTTCTTGCTGCATTTTCATCGACCCTTGTAAACCTCCACAGCCAAAGGGAGCAAATCCACTAAGTTCAAACCCAGTGTCAGCTCCACAGGCTCATGGAAGCAGTCAAAGAATTCCGTAGAAATCTGCATTTGCAAATTTTCCTTACATAGAGCCAAACAAGCAAGCAAACAAACAAACAAACAAACAAAGGAATCTTTCATAGATCATGTTGCTGTAGAAAAGGCACAAGAGTTACCTGTTCTATTCCCTACTTACCCTGAGCCTACACACTTCAGCCTTATTCTTGTCTATGGCTTTGTCTACATTACCAAGTTTTGTGGCCAAAAACTGCCTTTTGGCGACAAAACAGTGAGAGCGTACACACTGCAATGAGACTTTTGTGGGGAAAAACGCCTGGTGTTGGCGACAAAAAACTTCCACTCCATGAGAGACTCTTTTTTTTCCCCCTCCCTTTATTGCTGACAAAGAACCAGTGTAGACACTGCTGTTTGTTTTGTCGACAGAACTGGCTTCCACCAGTATCCCACAATGCTTGCCTGATTGCTCTGCTCAGTGTTTTGATCTCTGCGGGCATGCGCCCCTCCCCTTTCAAAGCTGCGGGAAATATCTGACAGCTGAGGGTGCTGTTCCGTTTGGGGAACAAAGAGAAAATCATTGGAATGCCCGTGTTTTGCCCTGCACTAGGAAGGCAGCGGCAGGCAGATTGCTGTCTCAGGGAGGGTGGGAGGAGAGACCGCTGCACTGCTTTGACATTCCTCAGCATGGAGAGCTTCCAGAGCTACTCATGATGCTGCTCCCGGCAGCTGCGGAGGCTGTGGGAGAACCAGGAGGGAATCCTCGCAAGATGCGCAGTGATCACCTCCACCTTCCCACAACACTGCACTGTGGGATACATAGCCACAATGCATGGCTCACCCGGTTGATGATGGTGCCCACAATGTGGACATGATCTGTCGACAGAGGGAGCAAGCGTGAACACCCTTTGGCAATTTTTCTTTTGTCGACTTTTGGGGGTCAACATTAAGTTTTGTCGACAAATCTTGGTAGTGTAGACAAAGCCTGTGTTACAACTGGAGGTGTGACTGTCGCTCGCGTAGGCATGGAGTTGTACACATCCAGTGGGCCAGCCTGCTGATTTAGAAGTAAAACTCATTCATAAGAGCAATAACATATTGGTAACTTGCACTATAATGAAATTGGGCTAAACAAGACCATATTTTCAATTAATCGGACTGGATTGTGTGTGTGTGTGTGTATAACACTGATATTTTCTATAGCCAACCTGCAGTGATTCAAATTTAACAGCACTTTGCACAAAATAAGCCCCAACTGGTTATTGTTTCTCCTTTACACTGGTAGCTTTAAAGTGACTAGTTAACATAGAAGGGCTTCTGATACAAAATTCAGACCTGGATTTTGTCCTCAGCCCAGTTCAAAGCTGTTAGGATGTGATATTTCTCTTTGGCCTGATATTGTAATAAACCCTAATCATGATGTTTATGGCTGAGTTTCAAAAGCGCTACAGTTCAGGGGTATTTTTGGATTTGAAGCTCTCATTCTGGCCTTTCTCTACTAGAAAGATTCCAGTAGTTCATCTTGTCCTGAATTTGGCAGAAACTCAGTCACTCTTTACAGCTGTGTTGAAAAGCAGGTCAGAAAACCTGACCTATAAGGAAAGATTTAAAAAAAACTGGCCATGTTTAGTCTTGAGAAGGACTAAGTGGGAGACCTGATAACAGTCACTTTTGGCCACATTTTCAAAAGAGTTCAGTATGTTGGATGCATGTAAGTCACAATGGGAGCAGTTGGGGCCGGGTACTTTTGAAAATCCTGCTGTCTTTTCAGGTGCCTAAATGGGAGCTGAGATAATTTTGAATATCTGGCTCTGCCATGGTACTGAGCCCCTGAAAACCCACTCCTTTGAACACCTGGTCTGTAGGTTTAGATGTCTACATTACCAGGGAAACAAACTTACATTCAGGTAATATCTACATCTGATTGTACTATGGTATTAGATCATTAGGGTTCTTTGTGGTCAGGAGTATGAATGATCAATTCTGCCGGATTAAGCCTAGTACACGGAGATACCATCAGAGGGGAGCAATCAAAAGTAGCATTCATGGCAGATTTAAATGATCTGTACAAATACAGAGGGGAGGGTGTGAGAGGGAGAAAGAGGGAGACTTCCTGACCTAGTGATTTATTTATGAAATTCCTAGAGCAGAGAAATGGCAGAAAGATCTTGAGGCTGCAGAGTGAGGTAAACAACGTGCCACAATATGTTTAGCAAACAATAACACAAGCTGCAGAAAGAAAAGGAGTACTTGTGGCCCCTTAGAGACTAACCAATTTATTTGAGCATAAGCTTTCGTGAGCTACAGCTCACTTCATCGGATGCAGAATACTCTATGGAGGGTGGAGATATACATCTCCTGCTTGGGAGGTTCGTGACTAAAGCCAGAGAACGGAGAATTTCAGTGTGGGGAAGCGGAAAGATTTCCCTTCCTTCTTTCTATGAATAAATCACAGCTGTGAGTCTGCTAAGAAATCCAGATCCTTGTTACCTACTTCCTAAAAAGCTCTGGCATCTCCCCTCCTGGTGCACACATCATCTCATGCCCTTTTGGTGTTCTGTCCTACCCACTCGTGGGCCTCCCTGTGGAATTTTGGACACTGATGCTCATCGACTTTATAGACATCTCTAAACTATCTGGGGAAAAGTCTCTATTGGGCGCAAGAGCCCAGGAAGAGGCATTTCACAATGAATTGCAGTCTCTGGAGCATGGCCTGGGGCCCAGTGAAGGAAGAATTACAGAGGATGAGTCTAAGGCACAGTACAAGAAAGGCACGAATCAATGTTTAATGGCATCAGTGGCAGATAAGACTTCTTTAGCCTGGAAATTTCTACTGAAGCTGGATGGAGAAGCAGACTGTACTAACTGCAGAGATATATTCACCAAGAAGCTAAGAAACCAATCCTGTGAGGGGCTGAACTCCCATATCTCCATAGGAGGGCATGTTATACTGGAGATATTGTACTGTTGTTGCTCTGGTGTAGCTAGCCACCAGTGTAAACACATTATACCAGAATTGCTCACCCCAGTTTCAAACTAGAGTAAGCCACACCAATTCCAGCCCTATATTACACCAGAGCTGCAACTGCACATCTGTATTTGGGGCTTGCACTGATGTAGCGCCATTCAGGCTTCCCAGACGGCTCTCAGCACTGACAGGTTTATTTGCATTCTGGCCTCCCAAGGAGTCTAGGTGGCTGTGCTCATCCAGGGGGGTGCCCCAACCTCATAATGATGCATCTGTGATTAAGGGTCTCTCAGGTGTGGAAGAAGGAAGTGAACTCCCACACAAACTTTCCGTGTTTGCCCACCAAGTTAGAGGATCCTTCACATTGGAGGAAATCATTACTAATTTGTCTATGCTGTCTTTTCTTGGTGCATAAACTGTTCAAAGCCAAGCTAGCAGATACGGGAGAGAAGCCTTGTGAAAGGTGTTGCATAAGTGCATGACACCGTGTGGCCTACAAGGATAAGGAAGGAATGAACTGATGTCTTTGGATTCTTCCTGACTTGATTGATTAGATTGTTCATCTACTGGAATCTGCCTATGGGAAGACAAGTTTTTGCTCTGATAGAATCCAGAGTCACTCCTATGGATTGTATAATTTGTGTTGGAGCCAGGACAGACTTTTCTGTGTTCACACAGATGCCAAGTGATGCCAGAAGATTGAGCAGCGGTTTCGTTGAGGTCAGAACTTCCAGCCAGGACCTGCCCATCAAAAACCAATAATCTAGGTATGTAAAGACTGTCAAGCCATTGTGACGAACATGTGCTGCGAACTACTGAGAATATTTTTGCAAACACACTGGGTACAGTTACTAGTCTGAAGGGAAGTACCCTGTATTGGTAGTTGTTTGGACCTACGACAAACCTGAGGAACCTCCAGTGGGAGGGATGAATGTCTATGTCTGTCAAGGTTCCTCCCCCACTCTGAACTCTAGGGTACAGATGTGAGGACCTGCATGAAAAACCTCCTAAGCTTATCTTTACCAGCTTACGTCAAAACTTCCCCAAGGTACAAAATATTCCACCCTTTGTCCTTGGATTGGCCGCTACCACCACCAAACTAATACTGGTTACTGGGGAAGAGCTGTTTGGACACGTCTTCCCCCCAAAATACTTCCCAAAACCTTGCACCCCACTTCCTGGACAAGGTTTGGTAAAAAGCCTCACCAATTTGCCTAGGTGACTACAGACCCAGACCCTTGGATCTTAAGAACAATGAGCAATCCTCTCAATACTTGCACCCCCCCTTTCCTGGGAAATGTTGGATAAAAAGCCTCACCAATTTGCATAGGTGACCACAGACCCAAACCTTTGGATCTGAGAACAATGAAAAAGCATTCAGTTTTCTTACAAGAAGACTTTTAATAAAAATAGAAGTAAATAGAAATAAAGAAATCCCCCCTGTAAAATCAGGATGGTAGATACCTTACAGGGTAATTAGATTCAAAACATAGAGAACCCCTCTAGGCAAAACCTTAAGTTACAAAAAAGATACACAGACAGAAATAGTTATTCTATTCAGCACAGTTCTTTTCTCAGCCATTTAAAGAAATCATAATCTAACACGTACCTAGCTAGATTACTTACTAAAAGTTCTAAGACTCCATTCCTGGTCTATCCCCGGCAAAGACAGAATATAGACAGACACACAGACCCTTTGTTTCTCTCCCTCCTCCCAGCTTTTGAAAGTATCTTGTCTCCTCATTGGTCATTTTGGTCAGGTGCCAGCGAGGTTACCTTTAGCTTCTTAACCCTTTACAGGTGAGAGGAGCTTTCCCCTGGCCAGGAGGGATTTCAAAGGGGTTTACCCGTCCCTTTATATTTATGACAATGTCAAAATAGGCATCCTTCATGTCGAGGATGAACCAAGTTATGAACCAAGTGTCTCTGTCTAGGGATGGGATTATTAATGCTAGGGTGACCATCCAAATCCTCAATTTGCAGATAAAGACATTGAGTTGCTGACGATTCAGGATGGGTCTCCATCTTCCCTTTTTTCTTGGTGATCAGGAAGTATCTGGAATGAAAACCCTTTCCTTGATGTTTATATGGCACCAGATCTACGGCTCTGCATCAGAAAAGGGAATCCACCTCTTGGATGAGTATCCCATCGTAAGAGCGGTCCCTAAAGAGGGAAGAGAGAGGAATTTGTCATGGTGCTAGCAGGTGCAATTCTCAACACCTCTGCCCAAAGCACAGGGTTGGCCTGCCTTGGATTAGACTGGGGCCTCGTTGCCCAATCCATGAAATGTTTCCTAAGCCTGAACTCCTGTGATTGCTGGGTGAGGCTGGGAAAAGAGCAGCAAATGGTACACTCCATGAAAAATGGCTTCTCCCAAGCAATAAAGGCACTGTTCGTGGTCATTGCTGACTGGAAAGGAGTAGGGGCATAATCTCTGTCCTGTATTGGGAAGGAAGGGGGTTCCCCAAGGGGAAGGGAAGTCCTCACATTCTAATTACAAATTAATTCTAGGAAAACTAGAGCTAAATCTAACTAACAGTAACTCTATTTACAATATTTGCAGGTTTGAAGACAGGATCAGCTTGGGATGCTGGAGGGTTCTGATTCAGACCATGTGGCAGTAGAGGACGAATGGGGGAGGTGATCTGTTCACATCACCCCTTTATGCCCTGGGTTTGGAGCATGAGGAGGAGAAGAACACAGGCCAGACCAATGGACACTGCTAGGAAGACTCCTATGGTCTCAGATGCAAGGAGCTCATGCATACTCCACAGTGTTACACACACAAAAATCAGCACTGGAAGAAGAACTAGGGAATCCACCCATTACAATTACTTTGACTTCAACTATAAACAGTACATCCTTATCTAAGGGCCTGACCCTGCCTTCCCTGTGCACCCAAAACTCCCACTGAAGTCAACTATGGCATTTTTAAAATAAAAACTCCTTTAGTTTTTAGAATTTCAGGACATGGGAACCCACGTAATACCAAACTAACAAAAAAGCTTGGATGAAACAAACCACTAGATCGCACATAGACCTTCTCACCAGATTTCCAGCCCCGTTTTGCGAACTTGATGTCCCAATAACCTGACAAGTACTCGGAAAAATCAACGTAAAGGTCTTGACCTCAGCGAGTTTACACTGGAGCTGGATTTGATGCCTGGTCTTTGCATTCAATCAAACTCTTGAACCTTCTGAGGTTCACGCATTCCTAGTGGAAAAAAAACCCTCCATTTATACATGGAAAAGTAGTGATCAATCAACTTTTATCGCTCCAGCTTTCATTACAGCAGCTTAGAACAATAGAATAAAAGCACGTAATGAAAACATTGTAAAAATGTAATAAAAACACACAATCCTTGACTGTGCAAGCTTTGCTGTTTTAGCACATCTTGGGGAACTGCACAGGAGAGGGCAGTCCAGCCTTCTGGTGTGCTGCCAGTAACCTCCATAACACTACATCACACTCTTTCCACTCCGGGAATTGTGCCGATTTAAACCACAGGAGTTATGGGAGACTTTCACAATGTTTAGATGCAGCAAATACCTGAAAGGTCTCTGGATGGGTTTTGTCATCTTGGCATGGAAAGTTAGGTGGGAAAATCGCTTGAGAACAGCCTCTCTCGTTGTACCACGAAGCTTCCTGGAAATAGCAAGGAGAGAAAAGATAGGTTCAGTTTGGGATTTGGAAGAAAGTTAAGGGAGGTGTGGGTGGTCATGATGTTCTTAAACAATTTGACCTGTCCAGACCCATCTCTAATTTAAACTTTTTGGACCAGATTCAGCCTAGATATGAATAGACTCAACTCCCAAAGTACCTGCCAAAGGCTGGATTTGGCTCTTCGTGGCTGCCTAGTATCACAAAGGTGCCACCCTGTTTGCTTTCAAGAGATTATTTCATCTAATCTAATCTAATAATAGAATATCAGGGTTGGAAGAGACCTCAGGAGGTCATCTACTCCAACCCCCGGCTCAAAGCAGGACCAACCCCAACACCAGTCCATGAAGCACAATGGTATATGAGCACCTAACTATCCCTTCTCCGGCTCTCATTATTATAATATTCTGGTTCCAGAATTAATCCTTTCCCACATACATTTTCAGTTTGGAAAAAAAAAAAAGTAGGAAATATCTCCCAGGATGGGAAAATCTCATTAATTTACCCCACCCCCATGTGGTGTGTTCATGCCCATGTCTCTTTTCACAGTGATAAATAAATCTAGGCAGTGATTTTACTGTCAGTTCGAAGAGGCCCAGAGAGTTTGCCTTTTATTTTAATAATTAACAATTAATGTTTTCACCTTCAAAATGTTTCACAAACATTAAAGAAGCACTATGAATTTAACAGTCACTCTCTGATTTGAATATTTTTTTGCCTGTTATTACAAGTAACACCTCAGATGACTGGACTGTAAGAGGTTAAAGAAAATATTATTCTTGATTTTGTTTGCTTTTGACAACAGTTTGAGCATAAACATTTCCACTGCTTCTGTGGAACAGTCAATCGCCGCCCCCCGCCCCTTGTTTGTGTGGCTCTTTTTAATGGAAAAAACGGAAAGAGAGAAATTTAAAACAAGTTGAAGTCACTGGAGTTGCCCCATTTACCCCAGCTCTGAATTTAGCCCGATGGAATTTTATTGTTTCTTTATCTACTGGAAAGAATGTTTAAAAGTTTAATTGGCATATAACGAGATAACTATAACAAGTTAATTAGTTCTCAATTACGTTGCATTTGCCATACGTTCTGAGCGTGCTCTTAGCAATTAAGGACACCTAATGAACTTGCTATAGTGATTGGGTTTACCATGTTAAGAAAACTAAACTAAAATACAGATATAAAAAATAATGCACACACATATTTTTATAGCACATTAGAAGCAAAGCATGGTCTAGTAAAAATGGACTTACACCTCCAGGGCTGCTGCAGATTCTATAAGGGATATGGCTCGTAAATTTACACTGGCACACCGAGTCAAATCTGCTATGAACCAGCTGGCTTTCAAGATGGGCCTTGCTGGAAAAAGTTTTCCTGGGAGCAATATGAGAATTTCAAAGGAAGACGAGAGGAAAGGAATCAAAGTTGCATGATAATGTCAATCAGTCATTCACCATAGCTGTAAAATAACATAGTTCAGATCATTAAGGCAATTGATTGTGTTGCGGTGAACTGAAGATCTACTGTGTGACAACAGAAGCTGCAGTGGGTGAAGGAAAAGGGTTAAACGCCCTTCAAAGATCATTTAGCCAGGTGAGTACATGGAGATCAATTTCTCTCTGTGCCTAGAGTCCCACTCTTTTGAACACTCTGTGCAATTAAAGTACCACACTGAGTAGGCATTGGAAGAAAAAAAAATTTCCAAACTAATTTACATTTTAATGAATTTTTAATTGAACCAAAATCTGTTGTTTCTGTTTAAAGATGCAGTGTTGACTTTGTGGTCTATGCTGCTGAGAGCCAAGTGGGATCTTAATGTGATAAAAACAATGATAATGCAAAGCTTAATTAGGTTTGAGAGCCTGTCTGGTAAAGCAGCACGGAATATGGGAATAAAAGCGTTACCCTCTGATGATACTGAATTTAGAAAGTGGGAGGCTGGGACAGGATCTGCACTGCTGGGACTAGCTGGGATTACATGTGAAATGACAGCCAGTGTTGCTCATGTGCACTGGGATCAACAGATCTGGAGCTGGACAGAAACCTGGCCCGGGGGCTTACAGGTGTTAAGACTTTTCTGCTGTGCTTTGATCAGAGCTCATCCATTAGGGTCAAGTAGTTTTATCCCATGTGATCAGTGTCCTTTGACTGTAGGGTCTTCTGACCACCTTCAGTCAGATCCAAACATTTGGGATAGCCAGCTTCTGAACTTGAGTGTGGATTTTCAAATGGCCTCTGTTTATAACGGGCTGAACCAAAACTTGACATCCCAACATTTCCACCCTTTCCAGGCCTGGAACTGAATTTTGCAGGCCTGGGACCATTTCTAGTTTCTGTGTCTTATTGGAACAATCCCCCAGAACAATAAATGCTCTTACCCCTCATATGGCTGCTGAATGGAGAAGACCCTCTGGCCTGTAGTGAAGGCCAAAGACAGACACTTGAGATGGATCTGGACTGTAAAGTTTGCATCTACATCTGGAGCCAAACTTCCCCAAAATCAGGCGCTAGAGAAGAGGGCACGTGATTTCATTTTAAAAATGGCAGCATGCAGGGATTTCTACAGAGTTTCACACTGGAGATAAGCAGCCAAAACCCAATATTCAAACACTCTCAGACTTTTAGCAGGCAGGGATGTGCATACATGTATAATCAAGTTCCAGATTTCACAACTGACCCCTCTTTTTATAGTGGTATGTAAGCAGGATACACTCCATCTCTGTTTCTGACACATACGCACATTGGGTTAGGTACAAACTTACCCCCTGCTTCAGACTTATCTTTAGTGCTATCTTAAATTACAACAGATCAACCTCACTGTTTCAATCATGGTTGCTTGCAATCTTCTGGGTTTCTGGCTCAGAAAGGGATATTTTACTCCTTTTATATGCTTGGGTTGCAGCTAATAGGACCCACCAGGACTGGTTTCCAGGTGAGTCAGCAGAATAGCTTTGCATCTCCATGGAGGATTTCTAGCACATGATACCCTGTCACCTGGATCCAGCCAAAACACTAGATCTGAATATCCCAGAATTTTGGGGTCTGAAAGTTATGACTGGGAGTCCATCTTTACTGCCAACAAAGGTGCCAATTGTGGTGGCGCTTTTTGTCATTGCAAAACATAGTAGGCGGACCACTTAGGCCTTCTCTTAAGGGCCATCCTTTATTCTAATGTCCTACATCCCTCTAGGAAGCACTCTGTCCTGCATTTAGCAACATGCTATTCTGAAGTCATCATGCAAGGGAATCATACGTTATGAAATTCATGCATGAGTTTGTACAGTGTATGATTCTATACTATTAACAACACATTTGTGGCTTGCCATCCTGCATTTTTCATACCATCGTCCTTTTTGCCTGAATGTTGGTGATCATTTAACATCTGATCACTAGGCACTGTACTGAGAGTCACCAAACTCATCTCACACATGCCATCAAACAGCTATCAGGTGGCAATAACTTTTGTTCACTACTCAGGAGTTGGATTCACACTCACTGCTCCAAGGCTTGTAATAAAAATATCCTTTGTTTTGTGCACACTGGGAATGAAATGGGATGCAATCACACATGCACACATTTACAGAAGCTTAAAAACCCTGCTTCATTTTAACCTGGATCAAGTCCTCCCTTCCCCCCATCAGTTTTTTATACAAGTGTTGGAGGTTTGGAGATGTTGAACTTCGTAATATTAAGGACCTACCCCCATCTCCTAGTGTGTCTGCCTGGTCTATTGCTGTCTAGATTAGGCTTTGCTGCCCCTCTCTACAGCAGGATAATTAGGACAGAGGGATCTTCAAATCTTCTCCCACCTCCATGGATTTGGAAATTAGACCCCTCTCTGTCCTTTCCTCCTTTGCACCAGAACAAGTTTGCTATTGATCAGAGTGACAAATAAAGTGGTGTGAGCACAGCCCTTGGCCCGATCTTATCTCAGCAGAACTGGAACATTAGGAAATTAATGAAAGGGGAAAGAAATAGCTGGGAGTTTTGAATTTCAATCAGGGGCACCAAGACCCCAAAATCCGGGAGTATTAAGAGAGCTAATGTACTGAGGGCAGGAGCTCAGCTGGCTCCCACTTTCACACTAGACCTCACAGTAGGAACTTGGCTCATCTTCCTGTGCCAGACAATCAATACGCTTGTTGGGGGAGGCAGGGTGACTCTGCACTGTAGCAGGCATGCAGCAGAGAGAAACAGCTTTCCAGGATGAGTAGCTGGGGAGGGAAACATACTATGGCCTTGCTCAATTCCTTCTTGACTGGCCTGGTGAGTAGGGGGTCTGCTCCAGGCGGCCATGTGGAGATGGAAGCCAGGAGCCCTTATGCACACTGAGCCAGCAGGCCCTGTGCTTCATAGGGAATGGAGGTGTGATTGTACACTTGCACAAGCTATTCAAAGAGGGAAGAGGGCCTCCTTACATGTTTCCACCTGTCAGCCGGCTGCACAGGTGTCAGAACATCCACAGTCTTGCCCATGGGAAACAATGTCTTAAAATCCAAGAAACATCTGTTCAAAGGGTGTGAGATCTTGACACGTTTTTACAGAGATCCCCACCAGAGTCAGGGCACCTAATAGTTTCAAAATCTCCAAAGACTGGCCTGTAGTCGCGTCTTACTCTTTCCTTCCTTCCTGCAAAGATGGCCCTTTAAGGAAATTTGCCCTTCTTTCTTCATCTACCTTTTCCTTCTCTTTTTCTGCCTCCTTCGCCTTCCTGGTTGATAGTGTGGGAAAGCTGCTGTCGAGTCAAAGGAGTGATTTTTTTCCATTTTGTTCTGACACTTCTGAGTTCCACGGTCATTCAGATCTCCCGAGGGAGTGAGTAGCCACAGTGAAAGCTCTGTCTCCTGCTCTCATGAGTCTCACCCTTCCAGCTGACAGGTCCTGAGGAATGTAGCAGTGAGGGGAGATCACTGTTGCAGAGGCAATTTCTTGAGTAGCTAGGGACAATTCCCTGGAAGGCTTTGAAGAATAGGACCAAGACTTTGAATTTGACCCAGTATTTTGAGGGGGCATAGTGTAGTAAGCCAAGCATCTAGATAATGCACTCCCGATGATCCATGTTACAGCTGCTCACCTTCTTTAAGGGAAGTTTATTTTCATCCCTAGCCATGAACAAGTAATCCAGCGTGGAGGTTATGAAAGCGCGAAGGGCAAAGATCTGAGCTAGATTCATGACTCTATTTCAGAGGCAGAAAGGGCCAAACATTCATTCTCAAACTCTGCCAGTGAGGTTTCACTCGTTGAAAGACGGGAAAAAAATGTTGTTTCTTAAATGCCCGATGAGAAAAAGTGGTCTGCTCACATTTATAGCCTATTTCTGGAATTAACACTGTGTGATGTGAGCATTTGAGCTGGTGCTACAGGAGAGAATGGTCACTGATCCTTTAAGTAATTGTGTGCAAGATCTCATCTCTGGGTTTCAACTTCCCCACTGCATCAAGATCAAGATTCTTGTCCTTGCCCAAAGCCCGCCAAACTCTGCTCCTCCCTATTTACTTGCCCATGCCTCTGCTCTCTGTGCTCTGCTAATGAGACCAGCTTGGGCTCACACTCTGTTTCTCCCATAGCCAATCTTTAGGCTTTCGTCCATAATGCTCCTCATGCATGGGGCAGTCTTCCTGAACTGATCTGCAAGGCCCTCTCACGTTCAGATCTGATTAACAGTCAGATCAGAAGCTGTCAGTGGGAGCTGCGGCTCTGCAGCAGCACTCCCATTTTCATTCAACAGCAACCAGGTTTGAAAATTGTGGTTGAAGAGTCTTATTGACATGAACATGCCTATAGTTAGAAGAGGAAGGGCGGCCTTGTGGTTAATGCACGGCGCTAAGATTTATGGTCTCTCACGGACTTCCTGTGTGACCGTGGGAAAGTCACTTAGGCTATGTCTTCATTTGACCCAGGAGGTGTGATTACCAGCTCATGGAGACGTACCTGTTTTCATGCTGTCTGGAGTGGCTCACAAACGTGAGTACGTACCTCAGGGCAGACTGTCAAAGACAGGCCGGACACCCCAAATTGGTGGTATGTTCTATAAGCTGGGAATGGGCAACAGGGGATGGATCACTTGGTGATTACCTGTTTTGCTCATTCCCTCTGGGGCACCTGGCATTGGCCACTGACGGAAGACAGGATACTGGGCTAGATGGACCTTTGGTCTGACCCAGTATGGCCGCTCTTATGTTCTTATAATTAGATTTCACTAAGCCAGTAACAAATGTGAACTTCTGGATCACTAAACAGTCTTACCATGGGGTCACAGACAGTCCCCTGAGACTCTCCACCCTGTCTTGACACCCAAACTGTACTTGGTGATAAATGGTCACTTACACCAAAAATCACATAATATTCAGGTTGCTTCTGGGCCCAAGAGACGACTTATCCCAGATCAATTGGTACCCTAGATCTTTACACCAAAGACAACGCCTGTAGCCAATTCTGTAATAAACTATCCAAGGTTTATTAACTAGAAAAAAGGAATAATAGCGTTATTTACAGGTTAAAGCAAGCAAACATATACACACAAAAAGAAAAGGAGTACTTGTGGCACCTTAGAGACTAACCAATTTATTTGAGCATGAGCTTTCGTGAGCTACAGCTCACTTCATCAGATGTATACCGTGGAAACTGCAGCAGACTTTATATACACACAGAGAATATTACCAGCAGGACAGTGGGGTGGGAGGAGGTATTGTTTCATATTCTCTGTGTGTATATAAAGTCTGCTGCAGTTTCCATGGTATACATCTGATGAAGTGAGCTGTAGCTCACGAAAGCTCATGCTCAAATAAATTGGTTAGTCTCTAAGGTGCCACAAGTACTCCTTTTCTTTTTGCGAATACAGACTAACACGGCTGTTCCTCTGAAACCTGTCAATATACACACAAATGAGTTATCATCTAAATCCTAAGAGTGACATAGTTGTAGTGAGCTGTCAATTCAAAGTGTCTTTCAGGGCAGAGCCAGGAGATAACCCCTGGGAATCTCTGGCTTCAGTTTGGTTTCTCTGGCCCTGTGAGAATTCAAACAGCAAAGAGAAGAAAAATCTTCACATTACCTATTTTTATTTCCCTTTCCCAGCATTCAAAGCGATGGGAGGAGGCCTTTTATATGTAGTCCTCTATGGGTGTGATAGGGCCATTAACCAGTCCTTTATATTGCAACGTTCCTTCAGCTGGCCCTGATCTTGGATCGATCTACTAGATGCTACTGTGAATTAATCATTGTACTAAATAACGCAATTGGTGGAAGAACTCACACACAGCACAAATGCCTAAGGCTATGTCTACACTACAGGTTACGCTGGCATAATTTGTGTTGCTCAGGGGGGTGAATAAACCATCCTCGTGAACGACATAAAGTACGCCAGCATAAGCACTTGCCTGCACTCCCGCCAACATAGCTTCTGCTGCTCATGGCGGTGCGTCTTTGTGCCAACAGGAGAGCGGCGCTGCACATATAGACGTAGCCTCAGAGGGCAGAAATGTTTCTCCCAAGAATGGTTTTCAAGTGTTTTCCACCAGGGGTCGACAGCGGCTCTTTGAACAACAAAGCCCACGAACAAATAAAAATTGATACGTTCGAATCAAAACTTGAACTGAAACATGTCGCTGCTATACACACACACAGAGATTGGCATGATAAGGCAAAGAACAAGATAGAATTATGCTTCCGAGGTGTTTAAAAGCTCGTCCCATTCAACAGGAGAGGCTCCCATTTGCAAAACATTTATTCAAGTCTTAATTGAAATAAATCCTTGAATGTAGCCACTCTATTGAGAGGCTGCACAATGGCCGTGGTCTCTTTAATCATGGTCCCATTCAGACACTAATCAGTAGAACATATGCAGGCGTGAGTGGTAGGAGTTGAGGACTTGCCCTGCCTGTGGTCTGTCTGTCTCTCTCCCTCCCTCTAATTAGATGCCCCATTCAAATGCTAATCAGCAGCAACACCATGATCAAGGAACATAAGAGGGAGCATTTGGATGTCAGATCATTGCCTTCAGTATAGATCAATGGTTTCTGCTAGTCTCCGGGTCAGAGATTGGGACACTCCTCCTTGGGGCAGCCATTTTCTTTTCTAAGCACTGTTTGACTTTGTCCCAGCAGTGAGTGGGGTGTCCCTGCCCAAGAGGCTGGAGTGGCTGAGGATTATTGCTGTACGTCCATTTCCTCTTCCTTCTGAAAACCGTTTGCCTAGGCATTCACACATACATACAGGCTGTGGAGCTATAGTCGTTGCCCAATCAGCAGATCAGCCATTGGAAAACCCAGACAAAACTGCCAAGGTTTGACTGATTTTGCGTCAGAAAACTCATGCAACCACTAAAGTTCATGTGGCTTACAGCTGAAGCGGTGAATGTGCCTCAGGCTTTCCCCAAAGGTTTGCACCCCTGCCCCTCCCCCCCACATATTCCCCAAAACTTCCAGTGAACCTGATCTGAGGGTTCCAGGTTTGAAACAAAACCCCAAACCAGACAAGTTTCATCTGGTTTGGGGGTTTGTGCTGAACATTTCTTCCAGCTCTGTTACCAGCTGATAGAAAATGCTCCTCAGATATCAGTGTATGAAGCGAGGATCCATATACATTGTGTGGTTTAGACCCCTCTGAGATCTGTTTAGCTAGTCACACCCTGCAGCCAAAGCATCCAGAAGCTGCATCCCTCAGAAACAAAATGGTTCCCTCAGCTCCCAGGCCCGAACGTGCTGGTTCAGTAGGGCAGGGATGAGAGTCTCAGGAACAGCGGTAAAGAGGTATTTTGAGAACAAAGGGGATTGAAAAGAGGCTGAGGGAAGAGAGATCACCACTCCCCCCAGTTTGCTACCTTCGGTCATTCATGGAGCTATTCCACTGCCCTCAGCCCTCTCCCTTCCCAAGTTCTAGTCTAATCATCTCTATTCTGTCCTATACAGGTTCTTCGGTCAGCCTCATCTCCTTCGTCTCTGAGCACCTTTCAGTAATGCATTAAGCAACAAGACTAACATGCTGGTTCCGTACCAAGCCCTGATTCCTCCCCGTTGTGAAGAGCGGGAGGGCAGAACACAAGCTCACCCCTCTCAATACGCTGGCCTGAGCACTGAGCGTCCAACCTGTGTGGACACAGAAATGTGGTTCATGAAACTCTTCTTATGGCAAGGGAATGATGACGCTGCTGTATTGCCAACACCAAATGTTCAAAGATCATGAGTCAGACTCACCAAAAATCACAAGATTGGCTTTAAAATCACGAGATATAAAAATAATAGATTTGGTGTTTCTTTTTATTTGCCTTCTGCTTTTTGAACCTTTCGGGTGCCCTGTGGTCACATTTTGAAGTTTTCTCCACAGCCATGAGGGCTAGAAACTTACTTTTTCTTTAAGAATGAAGGCTGAAGTCATCACATGTCCACTTGACTCCAGGAGCTAGGGTTTTAAGGAAAACAATAAAGATTATGATATTCATGACAAAATCATGAGAGTTGGCAACACCGTAGCTGAGAGAACCCTATGCTGTGGGGGCTACCATTGGGGAGCTGCGTTCCAGCTCATTCCTTATTTTGTAAAAAATGCCTGCAGTGGGTTCTGGGTCACAGCCTGCTCTGTATGTGGGAAGAAAGTTGCTTGGCAATATTAACCTACCTCAGCAGAGTGCTGTGAATTACAAAAACGTGTGTAAAAGCACTTTGAGCTCCTGTGATGGGGTGCTCGGGTGATGTAGAATTACAATAATATTTCCCAATAAATTAGTATTATTTGTTCTTCCAGGATAGAATCCACCCACAACCCTTTCCCTATCCAAAGATGCCCCCTCAGTTTCTCTGTCCTAAAAAGAGGGAAAGAAAAACATCACTGGCTTCTAGTGAGTGAGGGATGAAATTAACCAAAGAACATTTGGGCCAAATGTAAGGAAATAGATGGTGGAATAGCCTCCTAAGGCATGCTGTGGGGACCCCTTTTTGCATCATTTGTAACTGGGGTGGGCAAAAGCACTGGAGAACATATCATAGGCTTACTCCAGAGCTGGCAGAGATAGTATGGACTAATGACCTCATAGGCCTTTTCCATCTCTAATTTCTACGCTTTCCCTCTTTCCAAATCCAGAAGACGATTCTCTTCACCAGTGTCCTCACCTGAGATGCCTCCATCACATGATGTGCCTTGCAGAACGATGCCTACGTCACACCCGCTGGCTTTCTGTGCCCAAATAGTTGGGAGAAACACAAAGCTCTCTTGTGTTCCCTGTTAGAGACAAACTAGGTTGGCAGCAGATGAAACCAGGGCTCTGTCTAATATTTGGAGCACATCCCTTTAAAGAGGCCAGGCTGGAGCTGATGAGCCCTTTAAATGTTTGAAATGATTTAATTAAAGGTGACATTTTAAAAAGCAAACTTAATAGATGTTTACCTCATTGTGGTGTCTTTTTTCCACCATCACTGAAGGTTAACAGCAGGTGAGAGCCTTTTTCCTTTTTTAAACTTTGTGAATGCAGCTAATATCCCACCATGAAAATCACCTTCTATGAACCCATTTCATTTGCCTCACAAAAAATAAGCTGGAGGCAATCAGTCAATGTCTGGTGGAGAGCTCAGAATATATTCCCCCATCAATGTACAGCCACCAACCTACTCCTCATTAAGCTGCAATGATTCATGGCTGGCTCCTCTGTGTCAGACACCGGATGACTTCAGCCCTGAATTGTCCTTAATGTCTGCAGGCATTTAACTCTGGAGGTCACAACATATGGGCTCCACCATGGATTGCTGTAGACATTCTGAGCCTGGCTCTCTGCTCCACAATGCTAGCGTAAGTCCATGACTTCAGCAGAGGTACGATGATGTGAAACTGGCTTAAAGGAGTGGAGAATCAGCCCCTTTCTATTTAGCCCCGCAAATCACTTCTGGGGGAAAAACACAAATGAAAATCAAAACAAATGAGAACAAAAAATGAACAACATCCTCCCCTCCCACAGAAGATTGAATTCTTTTCAGTAACACGCAGGGACACATAGGTGGTAGGAACAATGTATGTGTTCATATTGTACTTCTAGGCTGCATTTGTTTTTAGAGTCGAGCTAAACTGGGTCAGTGCAATGTAGGCAGATATTTCTGAAAATAAAAGGGTTTAGCGGCCCTGTGACCTCAATATTCAAGTGCCACTAGTGATGTTCAACAACCAGCCTGAAGCTGCAAAGGTCAGCTGGGCTCCAAGTGTGCCACTTTCCATAACAATAGTAGCTACAGCACACACCAGTTTATCATAGCTTAGAAAGGAGAATGGCCTATTCGTGGGCCAAATAGCCACGTAAAAGCTCCCCCCTGATCTTAGACAGGGTCTGTCCATGGGCTTCTCTGCCCTGGGAAATTTCAGCATTTCAGAATGTAATGACAAGTCGTGGAAACTAATTAAATGCTAAATATGCTTTAGCACTCAGTGTGGATGGGAGCTATCTTGTTAAACATCATGTGAGCAGTTTGTTGGGGTTAACCGTGATCAACGGAGACAATATCTTAGTTATCTGCAGGTCATCTTCTAACATAATGTAGTTTCCCAGGGCGGACAAGCCCCATATTAGTAAGAATGACTAAGGATTTTAGGGGCCATGTAATCCGTGCACATTCTGTGCACCTGCTACACCACTCATGGTCTCATTTCATCTTGAGTTAGCAGCCGGAGTGGAGCATAGATTCCAACCTGGTAGTGCTGGGGACTTTGAGGTATTATAGCTGTGGCTATGTCTTTTTACTGCATGGCTCTCCAGTCTTAATTCTAAGTGCATCCTGCTGCCATTGGGATGCCTGTCTCTCACTTTACATCGTACTGACACCACATAGAGAAATGACTGTAAATAAACCTTACCGTGGGTTGCCCTATGGGCATGCCAGAAAATGCACCAGCTCAACATAGTTCAACACATTCTTCGCCAGCCCCAAGGAGAGAACAAGATTCACTGAACATTACAAATCTGGAGTCAAATCATCACATGGTGTAAACTGACATAGCTCCATTGCAGCCAATGACTTTAAGAGATTGACTTCAATGCAGTGATGCCAATTTACACCAGCTGAGGATCTGGTTCACAGGGCTCTGTGTGAAATCAGCTGGTGCACTTCCTTCAGTTATAGGATTGCCACTCATCCACATTTTATGGGGCTATATCTTAATTTCAACAGGACAGTTTTGCTCCCTGAAACTTCTTCTTGCTGAAGCACTGACATGTCCAGAAAATTATTTCAGGGTGTAATGGCCCTTTCATGGTATGTTGGCATTACATCATGAAGTTGCCAAGTTGTATTGCAATGTGATGATGGTTCTAGATAAAGTGCTGATGACGAATCATACTGTGATACAATGCAAACATCCACACATTGAGCCCTGACTAGCTGTCCCATAGGGGAGTCAAAGGCAGCAACGCTAGGCCAATTCAGCTGACAAGTGCCCACATCCCAAAGAAACACCACCACCATTGGCTCCCTGATTAGCAGCCTCAGCAACAAGGCTAAAGAATGGATGGGCCATGGAGAATGACTACATGGTGTCCGACTAGTTCAGTACTGATGTTTATCATCAGGGCAGCATGAAGAAAGCTTGCATGGCCACTGATCCTGCTGTACCTGTTCTGTGGATGGAGATCCTGGGACAGACTCCGTAAGTGGCTCCAAGTTACCCCATTTCACAAGCCAGGGCATACGGGGGTGTGCCGGGTGGGCCCATAGTGCGCGATGCTACAGGAGATTCTGTGCTACATAGTAACATGGCCGCTGTAAATTAGGCCATGTCTACACTACGAAAGTACTCCGATTTTACAGAAGTCGATTTTTTGGAACAGATTGTATAAAGTCGAGTGCATGCATCCACACTAAGCACATTAATTCGGCGGTGTGCGTCCACAGTACCGTGGCAAGCGTCGACATTCCGAGTGGTGCACTGTGGGTAGCTGTCCCACAGTTCCCGCAATCCCCGCTGCCCACTGGAATTCTCGGCTGAGCTCCCAATGCCTGATGGCGCCAAAAATTTGTTGCAGGTGGTTATGGGTAAATGTCGTCAGTCAACCCTCCCTCCCTCCGTGAAAGCAAGAGCAGAAAATCATTCTGTGCCCTTTTCCCTGCATTGCCCAAGCAGACACCATAGCACAGCAAGCATGGAGCCCGTTCAGCTCACTGCAGCAGCTATGAAAATTGTAAACACCTGCATTATCGTGCAGTTTATGCAGAACCAGCACCTGAAAAACCAGGCGAGGAGGTGACAGCAGCGCGGTGATGAGGTCATGAACACAGATTTCTTTAAAACCGCGGTCCCTCAGCATGGAAGCGGCATGTCTGGGGCTCTGTCCCAGAGCATCCATTTGATCCTTTGGTTTTCTGGTACGCTTGTCTGAGCTCCTTAAGTTTCATGCAGCACTGTGTTGCGTCCCTGCTGTAGCCTCTGTCCCTCATGGCCTCGGAGATTTTTTGAAATGTTTTGGCATTTCGTCTTTTGGAACGGAGTTCTGATAGCACGGATTCCTCTCCCCATACAGTGATCAGATCCAGTACCTCTCGTTCGGTCCATGCTGGAGCCCTTTTTTGAATCTGGGACTCTATCATGGTCACCTGTGCTGATGAGCTCTGCATGGTCACCTGTGCTGATAAGCCTGCCTGGCCAAACAGGAAATGAGATTCAAAAGTTCCCGGGGCTTTTCCTGTACACGTGGCCAGTGCGTCCGAGTTCAGAGCGCTGTCCAGCGCGGTCACGGTGGTGCACTGTGGGATAGCTCCTGGAGGCCAATACCTTCGAATTGCGTCCACACTAACCCTAATTCGAGACGGCAATGTCGATTTCAGCGCTAATCCCCTCGTCGTGGAGGAGTACAAAAATCGGTTTTAAGAGCCCTTTATGTCGAAAAAAATGGCTTCGTTGTGTGGATGGGTGCAGGGTTAATTTGATTTAATGCTGCTAAATCCGACATAAACTCGTAGTGTAGACCAGGCCTAAGGGTGCTTGAACTTACCCCGGAGGCCATTTTTGGCACAGCCCAGAAAGGGAGGTTGTAAAGGTGGCACCTCCACCTCCCCTGGTCTTTGCCTTCTGGAGGTGCAACACAGAAATCAGACCCTTCCACATTTAGGAGGCTTTCAACCGTCACCTTTTACCCGTACTAAAATTCACTGAGAACATTTAAAATGAAAAATCAGAGAAAGGCAGAATGCTGCTGCTCTGTTTGGGAGGCATCAGTGCACTTGTTACATCTCCAAGAGCACATTAAAATCCTACCTGCTTGCTTCTT